GATGAGTGAGCCTGGCTACTGAACCTATTCGACCATACTGGACCTGAGTGTAAGAGTTGTCGGAAGGGTTAGCAACGTCGGAAGATGGGGTGCATCGGAGGGAGTAGAGTGAAGTTGACCGAGAGTAGGAGAAGAAATGAGGAGTGATTCAGCGGCCTGGTTAGCTTATGTTTTCTCACGGGAGTCCGAATCGTATAGTGTGAGGAAGCTTGTAGGACCCAGAGAGACGGCGGTTGGATACGACATACCACTTCCTGTGACGCTAGAAGAGGCAGGGCGTGTACCGATACGATACTTGGGAACGTGGCTCGCAGAGGGGCTCTTCCTATGGACAGTTATAATACGTGACGAACGACCCGAGAGGACTCATGATCTAGAAGGGGTCGGACATCTAATAGCGGATAGAACACACGATTTGGAGATAGGGCTAACGCTCGCAGGTGCAAGCAGGAGTTGGTGGAGAAGCGAGTTGTTGGCCAGAGTGATTGTTAATCACCAATTGGCGAGACTTGGTGGAGGGAGGATGAGTAGGAGCTGCTTGGTGTACGGTCCACCACATCCGACCCTCTACCCGAGAAAGGATTGGCGATTCGGACTTCCTACCTTCGTGATAGGCCAGACCTATGGGAGCGTGGATCGTTTGAAGAGAGCAGTGGATCACACACTTTACGCGCTCTAGGAGGGCTTAGCGCCCCGCTTCAAGGAAGTATACTACGCCATTTGTGTGAGGTGGGGGCCGCCCAGTAGAGAGACGCTTGACGACATCATAGATGTTACGAGCTGGGTGGACTGTCTGAGGCCTATCGATCTGATTAGGTACTGYCGGAGACGTGCAGAGATCGATTATGYGGGGCTAGAGGACGCGAGATTTCTCTTTGAGGTCGCAGCTTAGGGAATGCCGGGAAGGACGACYACGGTGGTGCGTGTAGAAGAGCAATTCGTAAGCACATGATACACTGTGACAGTACTTCTCCGAGCGTACATAGACGAGGACTTGACGGCGAGTGAGTGCAGACAACGAGCTAGGGATTTGATCCACGAACGTAGAGCTGATGTACTGGCACGAGTGACCTTCCAAACCTCGATATCCTATGATGTGATGATATGGTCTCATGGTTATATGGGCGCGGAGCACTACCACGATGAGACGGTAGCGGAGGCTAGAGCGAGGGTGCGAGGGTGAGCTGGAGAAAGATGTGGACTGAGTATGGAAGGGGAGAGTGAGGCAGTCGGAAGAGTGAGAAAGCGCGTTAAAGAACCACTCTTGAATCAGGTAAAGAAGTTGGGGGACAAGTTAAGGGAGATCTGGTCGTGTCAAGACGAGGGCCAGTTGCGTAGGGCTGAACTCGTGACGAGAGAGTCAGATGGACTATTTAGGGAAGAAAGAGAGATTATCCAGGCGTGGAGATCAGACTTTCTGGAGAGGATAAAGGCAAGAAGCGTATYACGCGAAGAAACTAGTTAGCGATCTGCAGAGAGCGAGACAACGGAAGACAAAGTAACGTAGGGAAGTAGCGACAGGGCATGAGTGGGACAGCAGTACACACGACGGATCAGTACTCACTGCATGTGGTAGGGAGACTGGACAGACCATTAGTGTTAGTGATCATAGAGCTCCAGCTCCATACCAGACTGTGCATAGTTGAGGAGGCAGAATGTGTCCGGCGCGCGCTGCGTGAGGCTAGGGGAACAGGACTTTGGATTGGAATAGAAGGAGGACGGAGGATAAAATACGTACTCCAAGTGACACCTTTCGAAGGTTGGTCTCGGATAAGGGCATGATACGAGACGACCCGAGAGGCTGAGAGGTTAAAGATAAGCGAGGCCAGGAAAGCTGGAGAGTTAGGGAGAGTTGTAACAGATGGTGCAATACTCAGGGTGTTATCCGCTCACAACCGGTACAGGAAGGAAAGGATGAAGACTTTAGAGGCGATAGACGAAGGAGGAGATAGTGAGGATTTTGAGACATTTTATGACATATTGGAGCGGTCGGCGATGACGTTACAAGTCGTTATAGCACTAACTTACCTCAGCTGTTAGACAGATGACCTCGTAACTGTTGAGGACATAAGGTAGTGGAAATAGAAATTGGAAGCTCTTGGAAGGATAGAGGAAGCTAGAAAGGTCGATCGGCGACATTGAGCGACAGTAGGAGGGCCTTTAGCGGGCTAACCGATTCAGACTGGGCTAGGAGAACCAGCAAGGAGGACGGAGAGAGACGCTCAGGGACTYTTGAGRAGTGTTGATCAGGAAACATTGGCTAGGTTTGGGATTGAAATCCGTCTCAAGGATAGAGGTCCTGCCACGGGCGTACTGTGGATCCGGAAAGGCACGGCCTTGTTGACCGAACCCGAGAGAGAGGTTACTTAGACACAGAGATTCTTGAGATAGAGAGAGAACACGAGATTTGCGACCGGTACGGGATACTGGAGGTGGTAATCAAGGCAGTCGAGAGCTAAGATTGGAGGCGGACGCGAGTCGTGATGAAGAAACAGGTCCGGGCTGCCGCGAGTGTCACAGGTCCGGGCTACAGCGACTGTCATAAGGTCGGGCTGTAACAGTTGGCTAGAATACCTAACTGCATCTTCTGGCGGTCCAATGGAACCCGACACGATGGGGCCACAACCGACCACGGGCGAAGCGGGAGAAGAGTACAGGGCATCGCCCGATCGAGCACTGAGGGATCTGAAGGAACGAATTAGGCAAGAAGCACCGCTGAGATGGGCTGACCAAACCAATGACGGAGGGTCCGACGTAAGAGGCGAACCAATTGCGACAGAGCCGCAGGAGGCTCTAAGGACAGGTACCTCGAGCGGACGACGAGGAGCGACGAGGCAGCGCTCCCCCGAGTACGAGCGGAGGGACACCATAGCGGATAGGCACAGAGACGACTGGAGAGAGAGTTTGAGGGATTCCTATTGGAGGGACAGAGATAGAGACAGGGCGCCGCCCAGGCGAGTCTTCGACCCCCAGACACGGGAGTCACATCCGCTCCCTTACGAGAGCAAGGACCGCTATATTATTATGAACAAGGTCTCAGAGCCTCCTACCTTCAGGGGCTATGGTATCACAGAATATCTGGACAAGTGGGAGCTTCATGCCAGCCGGAGTCAGTGGTCGGAGGAAGAGATTATAGAGAACTTCCTATTTAATGTGGACCCAAGTCTTAGTAGGGAAGTTAAGGAAGCTCGACCGAAGGATGGGAAATGGACTACGTACAAGAAGAACCTCGTTGAGCTTTACAAATTGGAGGATAACAAGTATTCCATCAASGACCTTRAAACAATGACTCAAGATGAAGATGAGAGCGTGCGGGCATTTAGGATGCGTTTCCAAAAGATCTCCGACGTGCTGATGAAGAAGGGGAAGATCTCAGAGGTCGAGCGCTGTCCTATCTTCATCGGACACTTGTCCAAAGGTAGGCGAAAGAGTATACTTAGAGATCTTCCGCACGACAGGCTTGATTTTCCAGAAGTCCTAAAGCTCGCGATAAAGGCAGAGGCAGAYGATTACAAGGACTTGGTGTGGAGAGGGATGAGGAGACGTTGTGAGGAAACCCAGGGAGGGGTCGCCTACTGCTCGTTGAAGCCAGGGGCAGCAGCGCCTGTCACTCGCCGTGCCCGCTTCCGAGGTCCTCAACGAACGGCAGGGAACTTGGTAGGAGACACCCTGTCTCGCTACCTATTTTTCTACTCTCTTTCTTCTTTGTTTTACAACTTCACACCGCCAACGGTTTCGATCAGTCGGCTGGTAAATTAACAGGTTCAGACAACAATGAGTCTTCTTAGTCAATCGTCAAATTAACAGTTGAATCAGTCAGCTTTGTGTTTCTATAGTCAACCCGTAACTTGGCCGGTACAAACCGCAATTACCCTCAATAGTCAAATGATAAATCGACCGGTTCAAGCAACTTTACTGGTTCGGCACGAATTTGGCCCTGCTTTGCAATCAGATCTGACCCCAGAAGTTTGAGATCGCTCTAGCGGTCGTTCAGCCCTCGCCCAGCGTGCATTCGCCCCAGTTCACGGCTTGATTAATCTGCAAAACTCAAGAACGATCAAGCTGGCACGCTGAACCCATCGCAACGAGGGATGATTCACTGTATTCGCCCGCCTTAGGGTACTGATTCAACAGTTCAAAATTGCGAAATCGAGTGGGTATTTCGAGTCTGATAAACTGCTGTATTCATCCCACCTTTGCGGACGGATTCAATGCTTCAGAACTGGGAGAGTTCAAGTTGGCATCTCAAGCCTGATAATTCACTGTATTCGCCCCGCCTTGGCGGACAGATTCAATGCTTAAGATCAGCGAGAGTTCGAATGGGCATCTCATGCCTGATAAATCACTGTATTCGTCCCACCTTAGCGGGCAGGTTCAATGCTTCAGAACAGCGAGATCATATGGACATAGCATGCTTGATAAATCACTGTATTCGCCCCGCCTTAGCGGGCAGGTTCAATGCTTCAGAACAGCGAGAGTTCAAATGGGCATAGCATGCCTTATAATTCACTGTATTCGCCCCACCCTAGTGGGCAGGTTCAATGCTTCAGAACAGCAAGATCATATGGGCATAGCATGCCTGATAAATCACTGAATTCGCCCCACCCTAGCGGGCAGGTTCAATGCTTCAGAACAGCGAGAGCTCAAATGGACATAGCATGCCTGATAAATCACTGAATTTGCCCCACCCTAGCGGGCAGGTTCAATGCTTCAGAACAGCGAGAGCTCAAATGGGCATAGCATGCCTGATAATTCACAGTATTCGTCCCGCCTTAGCGGGCAAGTTCATTACTTCAGAACAGCGAGAGTTCAAATGGGCATACCATGCCTGATAAATCACTGTATTCGCCCCACTCTAGCGGGCAGGTTCAATGCTTCAGAACAACGAGATCATATGGACATAGCATGCCTGATAAATCACTGTATTCGCCCCGCCTTAGCGGGCAGGTTCAATGCTTTAGAACAGCGAGAGTTCAAATGGGCATAGCATGCCTGATAATTCACAATATTCGCCCCGCCTTAGCGGGCAGGTTCATTACTTCAGAACAGCGAGATCATATGGGCATAGCATGCCTGATANCTGATAAATCACTGTATTCGCCCCACCCTAGCGGGCAGGTTCAATGCTTCAGAACAGCGAGATCATATGGGCATAGCATGCCTGATAAATCACTGAATTCGGCCCACCCTAGCGGGCAGGTTCAATGCTTCATCGGCACAGGCGGCAAGACAAATTTGTTTTCCAGTATTCAAACTGTTGTTCCCCACGCACTCTCGGGCGAAGTTCTCCTTACCTCAGATACCACCTGCGATGTCTTCTGGGTAACAGAGTTTGCTTGTAATCTGGGCACACTAAAAAAAAACGTTGTCTCTCTCCTTCCTCTCTCTCCGCATCCCACGATGCGTTACAGCTTCCCCCTTCAGCTAGTCTGTTCCGTATGGGCAGCGCATCCCATGCTTACCGACCTCAGTCCCCTTCGTCCAATCTCTCCGAGTTCCCCGTTCACTTCGCCCGTATCTGCGGCGTGGATGAGACACTCCTCGCATGCCGCCAGAGACTGCCCCGTCTCATCTGTCTCCATCCTCCTTCCTGCCGCCTCCCTGGCGTGTCTTTCCCCCTTGCTCAAACGTGCTGTGCTCGTTGTGTACGCCAGGGACGCTATCCCCTGCGACTCGTTGACCTTTCCTCCTTCAGACGCGATCTCGGGCTGGGTACACCTGGTGCACTCTCTCCCTTCCCTTTTTGCCACCCAGCCTATATCCTCTAGTACCAGAAGACGCTGCCACCAGTACCAGTGCACTCGCATTTTCAAAGACAGATCCGGTACCAACACTTGCCGCTTTGATCCAGGGTCAAATCTGGACTGTGAGACCCTTCATGCCACGGCCTCAGGAGCAGGTGCAGGGATACCGACTGCAGACCCCTCGGTGCCACCGGATCTGTATCGGGCTTAGACTTACTGATCCCGAATAAACCAATCCGGAGTATTGCTGGTCGTTCCGTTGTCAACCCAATAGGGAACCAGGACAAATGTCGATCCTGAAACGATCTCGCAAGACTGAAGGAGCCGAAACTCGTAACATCCGTTCCGAGCCGTAGCAGCCCGTACCACACCCACGCTCCACCGAACGTGTCCCGAACCAGAATGTCATGCCGCTCCAGAAGCAACCACTTGAAACAAGCCTTCTGAGCTGTCTGTATCGAACATGAAACCGACGCAGAGACGCGTACCGTATCGACGCCGGATACCGTAGAAAATCAGAAAAACCATGATAGTACCGAACCTGTTTCGGACTTGAAATCCGAATCTCCAATGAACGGGAACAGGACGTAGTACCCAATCCCGGTGTCGTGCCAGCATCAATGGAGTGAAACACAGCAGCCCGAAACAGATTTCACCAGAAAGTACCACTGTCAAACCGTTCACTACCGGTCCTACCTCGAACCTGAAAAATAAAGTGGCTATGGCTTCAGACGCTGAAATAAATTGTCGTGTCGGTGCCGTTCCGGAACTGAACTGTTGGAG